GAGGTAAGAATTGACAAGAGAAGTCAACACATTTCTGGAAGGTAAAAGCTAATAGATGGTTGGTGCGCCTGAGTGGCTCAGTCGGTCGAGCATCTGAATCTCGGTTTTGGCACAGGTCATGATCTCACAGTCGTGGGATTGAGCCCTGCATCAGGCTCTGCACTCAGCATGGAGTCTGCTTCAGATTCTCTCTCTTCCTGCTCTCTCTCTCTCTCTCTCAAACAAATAAATAAAATCTTAAAAAAACAAAAGCTAGTAGGTAGTGATGGATTGGCAGGGCAGGGAAAGGAGAAACATGAGAGCTGGCAAGAAGGGATACAGACGCAGAAAACAGGAGAGAAAGGGCACAGTCATGAGAGGGGCAATGCAGGATGACTGACATCTGATGAGAAGGGTTTCCAGAAAGAGAACTGAGAAAACTGAGAGAGGAAATTACCAAAGTGATAACACAGGAAAATGTTCTGGAACTGAAGGACACAGAGCAGCAGGTGAATAGTGGTTCTTGAAATAGTTTGCTCCAATGAAGGGGTGAGGGAGCATGTTAAAGATGGGGCTTTGGCAGTCAGATGAGGTGGAGAACCAAAAGTAATTGTCAAAGCATTTGGCAAAAGTCAACACCCTTTCATGATAAAAACACACAACAAAGCAGGAATATAAACATCATAAACATAATAAAAACTCTACACGAAAAACCCACAGCAAACATTACACTCAATGGTGAAAGACTGAAAGCTTTCCCTCTAGGATCAGAATAAGGCAAGGACGCCCACTTCGACCACTTCTGTTCAACATAGTACTGGAAGTTCTAGCCAGGTCAGGCAAGAAAAAGAAATAAAAGGCATCCAAATTGGAAAGGAAGAAGTAAAATGATCTCTTTTATGGAGATGACATGAACTTAATGTGGAAAACCCTAAAGATTACACACACGCACGCACGCACGCACGCACATACACACAGTTAGAATTAACAAATGAATTCAGCAAAGTAGCATAATACAAAGCCAACACCAAAAATCAGTTTTATTTCCATACACTAACAATGAACAATCTGAAAAGGAAATTAAGAAAATAATTCCATTTATAATGGTATTAAAAGGAATAAAATCCTTAGGAATTAGCCAAGGAAGTGAAGGACTTGTACAGTGAAAACTACAAGACATTGATGAAAGAAATTAAAGAGGACATAAATAAATGGAAATACAGTCCTTGTTCACAAACTGGAAAACTTAATATTGTTCAGATGTCAATATTACCCAAAGCGATCTACATATTCAATGCAATCTCTTATCAAAATCCCAACGTGGGTTTTTGGGGTTTTTTTTGGCAGAAATAGAAAAATCCATCCTAAAATTCATATGGAATCTCAGAGTCCAAACAATCAATTGATTAGTCAAAACAATCTTGAAAAAAAGGCAAAGTTGAAGGACTCATACTTCCTGATTCAAAACTCACTACAAAGTTACAGTAAACAAAATGTGCTACTAGCATAAAGGCAGACATATAGACAAAGAGAATAAAACAGGGTGCTCAGAAATAAACCCTCACATATATGGTCGAATGGTATTTTTTAAGATTTTATTTATTTATTTATTTGAGAGAGAAGCGAGAAAGAGAGCACGAGCAGTGGGGAGAGGCCGAGGGAGACGGAGAAGCAGACTCCCAACCAGGAAGGGAGCTGGAAGTGGGGCTTGATCCCAGGACCCTGAGATCATGACCTGAGCCAAAGGCAGACACTTAACTGACCGAGCCACCCAGGTGCCCCGGGGTCAAATGATCTTTGACAAGGTTGCTGAGACCGTTTAACGGGGAAAGGACAGTCTTTTCAACAGATAATGTTGGGAAAACTGGATATCCGCATGCAAAAGAATGAAGTTGGATCCTTACCTCACACCATATACAAAAATTAACTCAAAATATTATCAAAGACCTAAATGTAAGACTTAAAACCATAAAACTCTTGGAAGAAGGGGTGCTTGGGTGGCTCAGTCGGTTAAGCGTCTGACTATTGATTTTGGCTCAGGTCATGATCTCAGGGTCGTGAGATTGAGCCCTGCATTGGGCTCCCTGCCTAGCAGGGAATCTGCTTCAGATTCTCTTCCTCCCTCTCCCTCGGCCCCTCTCCCCATGCTCTCACTTCCACTCTCTCTCTCTAAAAATAAATAAAAATATATTTTTAAAAAAACTCTTGAAAGAGGAGCGCCTGAGTGGCTCAGATGGTTAAGCGTCTGCCTTCAGCTCAGGGTCATGATCCCAGGGTCCTGGGATTGAGCCCCTGCATCGGGCTCCCTGCTTGGCGGGGAGCCTGCCTCTCCCTCTCCCGCTACTGTTCCCCACTGCTTGTGCTCTCTCTCTCTCTGTCAAATAAATAAATAAAATCTTAAAAAAAAAAAAAAACCTCTTGAAAGAAAACAGAGGGCAAAAGCTTCACAACACTGGATTTGGCAATGATTTCTTGGATGTGTGACCAGAGGCACAGGCAACAAAAGAGAAAATAGACAATTGGACTTCATACACACACAAAATCATGCGTCAAAAGACACTATTGACAGAGCAAAAAGGCAACCCATAGAATGGGAGAAAATATTTGTAAATCATCTATCTGATAAGGGATTAATATCCAGATTATATAGAAAACTCCTTCAACTCAACAAATAAAAAAACAAACAACCTGATCCAAAATGGGCCAAGGATCTAAATAGCCATTTCTCCAGAAAAGATATAGAAATGAACAATAAACATATGAGAAGGTGCTTGGCGTTATTAACCATCAAGGAAATGCAAATCGAGACCACAATGAGGTATCACTTCACACCCATTCAGATGGTGCCGTAACTACAACAACAACAGGAAAGGCATGTTGCTGAGGACGCGGAGAAACTGGAACCTTATGCATTGTTGGTGGGAATGTCAGATGGTGCGGCAGCTGGGGAAACGGTATGGTAGCAGTTCCATAAGATATTAAAAGTAGGCTTATCATATGATCCAGCAATTCCACTTCTGGGTATATACTCCTAAAATTGAGAGCAGGGTCTCAAAGGGATATTTGTGTGCCCGTGTTCATAGCAGCTAAGATGTGGAAGCAACCTGTGTTCATCGAGGGATGAGTAAGCAAAATGTGGTGTGCACATACAATGGAATATTATTCAGCCTTCAGAAAAGAAGGAAGTTCTGACACGTGCTACAACATGGATGAACCCTGAGGACAAACGTTAAGTGAAATAAACCAGTTGCAAAAAGACTAAGACAGTATGATTCCACTTACGTGGGATCTTTGGAGTAGCCACATTCATAGAAACAAAGTAAAATGGCGGTTGTGGTTGCCAGGAACTAGGGCGAAGTGGGGAGTTATTGTTTAATGGGTATAGAGTTACAGTTTTAGGTGAAAGAGTTCTGGAGATGGATGGTGAGGCTCAGAGCACAACATCATGAATGTATTTAATACCACTGAGCAGCGGGGCACCTGGGTGGCTCAGTCATTAAGCGCCTGCTTTCGGCTCAGGTCATGGTCCCAGGGTCCTGGGATCGAGCCCCGCATCGGGCTCCCTGCTCCGCGGGAAGCCTGCTTCTCCCTCTCCCACTCCCCCTGCTTGTGTTCCCTCTCTCGCTGTGTCTCTCTCTGTCAAATACATAAAATCTTTAAAAAAAAAAAAAAAAATACCACTGAGCAGCATAGTTAAAAAGGGCTCGGATGCTAAATCTACTGTTTGGTATACTTCACCAGTTAAAAATTCAGAGGGGAAAAAAAAAAAGCTACTTTTTGTGCTTCCACAAATAGCCTTTTAGTAGATATAAATTCAAACACCATCAGGAGAAAAGAGGCAATGGCAACGTAGACGGCCACAGGGACTGGGGAAGATTGTGCCCAGCTAAGGAGAACATTTCCTCTTTGCTAAGGCCACCATAGCAAACTCTCACAGACCACATGCCTTATACAACAGAAAGTGGTTTTCTCGCAATTCTGGGACTAGAAGTCCAAGATCAAGGTATCGGCAGGGTTGGTTTCTTCTGAGGCCACTCTCCTGACTTGTAGATGGCTGTCTTCACTGGGCTTCCGTCTGTGCATGTCTGTGTTCCCATCTCCTCTTCTTATAAGGACACCAGTCACCTTAGATTCGGGCCCATCCCAGTGACCTCATTTTAACTCAATTACTTCTTTTTTTTTTCCCTTAAAGATTTTAATTTTTTATTTGAGAGAGAGAGAGAGAATAGGAGTGAGCATGAGCAGGGGGCAGAGGCAGAGGGAGAAGCAGACTCCCCGCGGAGCAGGGAGCCCGATGCGGGGCTCGATCCCAGGACCCTGAGATCATGACCTGAGCCGAAGGCAGATGCTTAAGCGACTGAGCCACCCAGGCGGCCCAACTCAATTTAAAGACCCAATCTCCATATACAATCACATCCTGAGGTACTGAGGGTTAGGACTTCAATGTGACTTTGGGGAGGGAGTTCTAATTCAGCCCATAACCCTCCTGATGAGAACATTCCCTTTCATGTGAAAAAACAAAAACAAATTCATTTCCTAGGCCAACCACATTCACCCCCTTCTAGGGCTGCTGACTCTGCTGTAGAGTGTGGATCGAAGAACAGTGAGCAGTAAATAAGGCAGCTTCCCAGAGGAGATGGGCCAGAGTTTGCTGGAATTGGAGGTGAATCTTTGTCTCCTACCCAGTTTCGATTTGGAGAAGCACATTAAAGCTTTTACTGGGAAAGGAGAACTCACCTCTGTGGTTTCTCCATCCTATGAGGAAGTTTACAAAAAAATAAACAAACAAAACTTGCTTCTGAAACACTTTCTCCCAGAATATGTTGGGTACTTAGAAATACCACCACCGCCACACGTCCCCGCCGTCTGAGATCATGCACCAGGGAGCACAGAGGAGGCTGGTTGGGGGACCGGAGAATTTCCAGGGCTGAGTGGGTCTAAGGCCACAGCTCCCCGCACCTGCCCCTTCTCCTGTCTCCCTCAGGCTCTCTGTAGAAGGCATCATGCACCTTTATCCTCACCCACTCTGGGGGGGAGTAGCTGCTGCAGGCACAACCTTTCAATGGCATGGGAGAGCTGAAAAGAGAAGGCACGTCGTTAGTGAAGGACGTGATCCCGGGCTCCTTCTAATGATGGCTCTTCCACTCTTTTTGCTGTGAGGTCATGAGCCAGTGGTTTGGCTTCTCTGAGCCTCGGTTGTCCCATCTGCGAAATGAGGCTGTGCCTTACCTGCCCGGCACGTGGCTGGGCAACTCGGGTGTGAAAAGCAAGGTGCGTGTGCCTTCGGAAGCCACAAAGGCCTGGGAAGCACGGGGCATCGTCATCACTGACATCCAAGAATGATTCAAAGATCGCACGTGGCACCGACGCCAGTGGGCCTAATGTGAACCATCAGAAACGAGTCCCTAAAAGGTGTGGCAAAGTCGAACAGAAGGGCAGGAAACGGGGCTTGCGTCCCAGCATGCTACTGTGAGCTACACCAGTCACTCCATCCTGGTGTTCCTCTACCTACCTTCAGGGTCATTTTGAAATAATAATAATAAAAAATACTAATCTGGCCTGGACCTTCACTATGTACTGGGCACAGGTGTCTCATTTACCATGTCTCGTGTTAGCCCCATGGCAACCCTAAGAGAGACGGGCTTATTTCTATTTCCACTTCACAGATGAAGCTCCGAGAAGTCCATCAACTTGCTCAAGGTCACACAGCCTGGGAGAGGTTTAGCAGGCTCCCCAAAGTGTGCTATTTGATCTGTGAAAACACTCATGAGATGTCGAGATTTCATGCAAAGCTACCATGTTGCCAGGAGCAGCGAGTGGACCAGGAGTGGAGGGGAAGAGAATACGGAAGTAGTGAGCAGTGGGCGGGTAAATCCGAGAAGGCTTCCTGGAGGAAGCATAAGTGAAGTCAGTGGTGCAGGGGATTCGGGCTATTAACAAGTTGAGAGGAAGGATGAGGGGATTCTAGGGGGAGGGATTGATGGCAGCAAAAGCAAGCAGGGTGAATTAGCAAGCTCTGTCTGTGGGTAGGGAAGCAGATGGGCGCTGAGGTGAACTGAGGTGGGCTTGAAATGGTAAGTGGGGAGAATTATAAAAACAACCACAATAGTGTTAATATTAATTGAAGGCTTGCTCTGTGCTGGGTACTCTGCCAAGCTACCTCTAAACTTCAGTTTCCTTATCTGAAAATAGTTTAAGTGCTTGCCTATCTCATAGGGCTGTTAGAGTATATGAAAAAAATAGGTATCAGACTCTTGTTTATTTTTTTTAAGTTTATTTATTTATTTTTTTACCAACGTGGGGCTCTCACTCACAATGCCAAGATCAAGAGTCGCATGCTCTTCTGACTGAGCCAGCCAGATGGCCCGGTACCAAGCTTTTGTAAGCCTGGAAACATATTCCGTACTTGAGACTTCCCGTTTCCCATCTGCTTGGGCGTTCCCAAGCGTTCCCGAGCGTGACCCGTGTATAGTTCTTTGGTTCATGCATTCAACAAGCATTTACTGAGCAACTGGTAGGTTGCCAGCAGGTAGGTTAACCCTGGACAAGAGAAACATCCCTGTCCCTGTAGAGCTCACATTCAGGTGGGAGACACATGCTACAGAGAGAAATAAAGGTGAGGATGGTAGAGAAAGAGAGAACCACAATGATAACTGAGAGGAAGAACAGTCCAGGCAGAGAGGACAGCAAGCGCAAAGGCCCTGGGGTGGATCGGGTGTGTCATACTTAAGGAACAGCAGGGAGGTCAGCAGGAACAGAGTGGGCAAGGGGAGGCTGGGAGGAGGTGAGGTCAGAGAGCTAGTGGAGGGGTGGGGTTGTCAGGGTCTTATAGGCACAGTGAGGAGTTGGGCTTTTCGCCTGAGCAAGATGGGAGCTATTGGAGCTGTGAGCAAGCCGAGGAGCAGATGCTTCTCTTGCAGAAGAACATCTAGCTGCTGGATGGAGAATATACCCTCGTGGCTACGGGGAAAAGCAGGTGACACAGGCTAGTGGCTCAGACACAGACAGTGGCAGTGGAAGTGGGAAAAAGTGTTCGGATTCAGGATAAATTTCCAAGGTAAAGCTAACAGCTTCCATTGATGGCTGGGATGGTGGGTGTGAAGAACCAGGAAGTATACAGATGAAGGCAGAGGTGGCCGAGTAGGTTTGGAGGAGGAAATTGTGTGTTATGTTAAAAAAAAAAAAATCTGGGGTGGCTCAGTCTGTTAAGCATCTGATTCTTGATTTCAGCTCAGCTCATGATCTCAGGGTTGTGAGATTCGTCCTTCATCGAGTTCCGTGCTGGGCGTGGAGCCTGCTTGAGATTCTCTCTCCCTCTGCCCCTCCCCTTGCTTGTGCTCTCTTTCTCTCTCAAAAAATCTGAAAGGGGTTTTAACTTTTTAAAAAATAGAGATGGGGCGCCTGGGTGGCTCAGTCGGTTAAGCATCTGTCTTCGGCTCAGGTCATGATCCCAGGGTCCTGGGATCGAGCCCTGCATCGGGCTCCCTGCTTAGCGGGAATCCTGCTTCTCCCTCTCCCTCTGCTCCTTCCCCTGCTTGTGCTCTCTCTCTGTCAAATAAATAAATAAAATCTTTTAAAAAATGAGATGAATTCCCATAATCTTAAGAGTCACCCTTTCGAAGGATACTCTTCAGGAATTTTCAATGCTTTCACAAAGTTATGCGACCATCATCACTAGGTAACTTGAGAACGTTTTCATCCCCCCCAAAAGAAACCCCATCCGTACCCCTTTTCCTCCCAGTCTCTAGAAGTCACTGATCTGCTTTCGGTCTGCACGGATTTGCGTATTCTGGATATTTCCTATAAATGGAATCATCCAGTATGGGAGCTTTTGTGACTTGTGTCTCTCAATGTCGTGTTGCTGAGATTCACCACATAGAGTGATGCTCCACTGTGAGGCTGTGTCACATTTTGTTTATCCACTCATCCGCTGGTGGGCATTTGGCTTCTTGCCACTTTTTAGTGGTTTTGAATAGCACTCCTACGAATGTTTGTATACAAATGTTTGCATGGACGTGTTCTCACTTCTCTTGGGTGGACGCTTAAGAGTGGAATTGCTGGGTCACACGATCACTGTCTGCGTAACTTTTTAAAGTTTCTTTCTTTCTTCATTTTTAATAATTACAACACCCAATGTGGGGCTCGAACACATGACCCCGAGATCAAGAGTCACATGCTTTTCCAATGGAGCCAGCCAGGCGTCCCTAACTGTGTAACTTTTTTGAGGAACTGCCAAACTGTTTTCCAAAGTGGCTGCCCCATTTTGCATTCCCACCGCCTCCCCTCAGCGCTGTATGAGGGATCCAATTTCTTCCAATCCTTGCCAACACTCACTACCATTCATCTTTTTGATTACACTCACACTAGTGAGTGTGAAGTGGTTTTGGTTTGCATTTCCCTGATGACAAAATGCATCTGCTCATGCGAAGTGTGTTACCTTTGTGAGGTTTTTTTGGACATCCAGATGGAGAGGATGCAAACACTGTTGGATGTGCAGAGTTCATGGCGGAGGTCTGGGATGGTGACATGCATATTGGGGTAAAGAGCATACGCTATTTAAAGCCATGGCACTGCATGTGCTCTCCCAGGGAGGAAGTGTAGCTCGAGAGGAGAAGAGGTGTGAGGGCAGTATTGAAGAGATTCCAGGTTCGTTATTATTCACAATAGCCAAGCCAAGAAAACAAGCTCCGTGTCTGTCAACAGATGAATGGATAAATAAGATGTGGTGTGTATATACGATGGAATATTATCCAGCCACAGAAAAGAATGAAATCCTTTTGTGGCCGTTTGCAGCAACGTGGATGATCCTTGAGGACATTATGCTCAGTGAGGTGAGACAGACAGAGAAAGACAAACACCGTATAATCTCGCTTATACGTGGAATCTAAAAAACCCTGAACTTAGAGAGCAGAGTGGTGGTGAGCAGGGGCAGGGAGGTGGGGGAAACGGGGAGATGTTGGTCAAAACGGTACAAGCTTCCAGTTAGAAGATGAATATGTTCTGGGGATCTAATGCACTGCAGAGCGCAACACCGGACAGTATACCCAAGCGTTGCAGAGACAGTAAATCTTAAATGGTCTCATCACAAAAAGAAGCGGAGTTTCTGTGGCGGGGGGGCGGGGGAGCTAGCTAACACTATGGTGGCAATTATATTGTTACCGGACAGAGAACCGGTTCTGAGCTCAGGTCTGGTTGCTCGCTGCTCGAAAACCAATACTTGAGAGACAAGTGATGGAGGATAGAGGGAAAGGAACGGCAACTTTATTCAGGAAGCCAGCAACCTGGGAAGGTGGTGGACTAACGCCTCAAAGACCGTCTTCCCCATCCAGGCAAAGCCAGAGGGTTTTTAAGGGCAAGGCACTGGAAAGGGGGAGAGGGGCTGCGTGCAGGAGAAGCAGGTGCCCAGGCAGTTAGTCATACGTGGACCTGACCCTGAACAGACTTACATCAGTGGCAACTGTTTTTAAAATGCAGTTAGGCCTTATCTTCTGGGAGAGTGCAGTCCTTCACTCCTCAAGGCCAGCAGGCCGCAAATATCAAGGAAAGAGGGTAGTTTTTCTACAAACCAAGGGACTTAGGTCAGCAAGGAAGGAGTGCATAAGCTTGAAGCAAATGAATCCTTCAGGCTCCTTAGATCGCTGTCACAATACTGTAATATACAAGCACATCAAATCTTAAGTTTACACCATGTCAATCATATCGCATCAAGTTGGAAAAAAAATTAGAAATAAAAGGAGCTGAGAAGTGACACAGGGGCCTGGCGGGGACGGCAGCTGAGCAAAGCACCTCAGAGGACTGCCTTCTCCTGGCCATCACCCCCTCCCACCACCCCACTCGGCATCCAGCATGAGTCTGGCACAAAATGTGAGTAAACTCAATAATGATTATAATAGCAAGGCCAGTCCCCAGGTCCACAGTCCCCACAAGGTTGTGAAGGGACTGAGCGTGGAACAACAACAACAAAAAGCCAAGAAATCTCCTTGTCAAGCGAGTTTCATTCTTCTCTTGTTACGGTAAGCATCATCACCATGGGTAATGGGATTTCTTTTTCTTCCAAAAGCCTGGGCTTCATGGCCATATGCTGTAGGTGGGAGTGTGACAATAGGTGCCACTCTCAGGGAGGGCATTTTGGGCACTAGCCAGCACCGTCTAGGCATGTAGGGGTGTGCGGCATTGCCGCGCTATGCCAAAACCAAATCAACATCAATGCCCATCATTAGGAGGAACTGCTTAGGTGAACAATGCTTTTGCCATTCTGTGCAATATTAGGGAGCTATGAAGAAGAACGAAGGAGATTTGCACACGAGGACATAGGAAG